TTCTATTTATAGTGTTACGACGCTTTTCAGCGGTCGTTGTTTGCGCACAAGACTCAATGTAGGTTCGTTGTGGATAACAGCTTAGTTCGTTATATTTTATTGTCAGTTAATGGAATGGGGAACTAGATAGATGGACTTGTCTCCAATGTCCACCTTCAGAAGTATATTCCTCTTCAACGTTCCGCTTCACACTATACACGTCCAGCCTGGACTACACCGCTTTGTAGGCCGCTCCGATGTCAGTCTCTCCTGGCACCGTCTTACAAGATCATCCACACGCCTGGAGGCAACACGCTGCTCCATCCACTTCCCGCAGATGTAACCAGACTCTGTCCTCCCCTAAACCGGAATGCTGTTTTTGGCGTCTGTTCCCCTCACACATAGCAGCTGAAATCCACCCATCTTTCCCCAACTTTTACTCTGGTATCTTTGCCTTTCAGATAGCTTTTCATCCATTTTACAACAGAAAAATGAAAAAGGAATACCCCAGAATTGTTCACATTTTTAACATTTTAGGATATGTGTCATTTGAGATTATTGATTGAAAAGATATGATTTGCATATGTATGTTGACTATTATCTAACTGACACCTTAAATTTAGTAATATGCAAATAAAAATATCAGTGGTATGCAAATTAAAATAATTGAATATTTAGATAAAAAAGTCACTTATTTATAAAGGTATTAAGAAGTTGGCGTTATTTTTTGGACCATTCTTGAATATTTAATCGAATTTAGAGAAATGTTTTTTAAAAAATAACATTTTACAATAAAAAAAGTGCAATTAATTTTTAAATCAGACAAACATTATTTCGATAAAAAAAATAAATAAATATGAGATGCTTATATTTAAGAAATGGTTAGTGTAAAAAATATATATATTTTGATGTAAAACGTTTATATTTATTTTAAAATTTAAACATTGATAAGTTTTTATGGCCTCTTCATTCAATTTATGACTTCAGACGTTATTAAATGTAAATGGCGGTGTGTAAATAACTGCGGGGCAATTGTCCTAATATTTAGCAGACGCCTTTTTTTTTTGGCGGGAAAATAGTTTTTATTTGTTTATTCCTCTCAACCCGCGCCCTAGAGTATATATATATGATAATTTTTTTAAAAATCATTAAGTTCTTTTTTTTTTAGTGGGCAATATAAGATGAAATTTATGTTTTCTTAAATTTCTTTAATATATTACGCTCTATAAATTCATTAAAAATCTAATATATGCATCTTTTTTAAATATTACGCTCTATATATAGAGAGAGATGGAAATTTTGCCTGGGAGGAAATTGATCTAATAAAATAAAGGTCGCATCTCCCGTTTTTTTTAGATTAATTTCCTCCCGGCAAAATTTCCATCTATATTTTGGCCATAGATTTGGCCTAACCACCTTACCAGCTAAACATCTCTTTGGTAGATTATGAAGATTCCATTTGATCCCTTGTGAATATCATGAAATAAAGTCCGCCCTAGACTGACGAATTAGCTCGAAACCATGGTCTCTAGGGGGACGTTTCTCAGTTTGCCAAAGTTGGTGTTGTGGCTTTGTCAACGACCTGAGTCCGCTAGTTCGCGGAGACGGTCAAAAGTTGCATACACTGCGTGACATTGAAAATGGAACACCAAGAAATAGTGGCCAGAAAATTATGCAAATTTCAGGGTAGACGCGCCTAACCGAGTTATGCAAATGATGTAAAATGCGCAGCTCTCGTGCGCACATGGAGTAAGATATAAGGGAAGGATCTTGCAGAAAGGACAGTATTCGTGTCGTTATTTCTTCAAGGAAAATCATTGTAGAAATTTTGTTCTTGTGTCAAAAGACACGTGTAATAACAGAGAATGCCAGGTCATCGTAAACGGAGGCAGTTCAAGCAGACAGACGCTTTTACGAGGGGCATGGTGATCGGACTGAAAAGGGCAGGTTGGTCCATACGTCAAATCGCAGCTGATACACACCTTGGTGCGTCCACGGTGCACCGACTGTGGAGAAGATGGTTGGAACAAGAAATTGTGGCAATTTATAGGAATGTCGGTGCAACCAGAGTGACGTCAGCACGTGTGGATCGGCGTATCCTTCGACAAGCAGTGGCGGCCCCACAAGCCACTTGTACCGCCATCCTGCAACATGTGCAAGACACCCTAGATCATTCCATCTCGACCAGAACCATTTCCCGTCGATTGGTTGCTAATGGCTTGCACTCATGCCGTCCGCTAAGAAGTCTGCCATTGACCCCACCGAATAGGCGCCAACGTTTGGAATGGTGCCGGGCTAGATCGACGTGGATGACGGAATGGCACAGGGTCGTGTTCTCAGATGAGTCGCGTTTCTGCTTGTCCAGTGATAGTCGCCGTGTACGCGTGTGGCGTCGACGTGGAGAAAGGTCCAATCCGGCAGCAATTGTGGAACGCCCCACCGTGCGACAACGTGGAATCATGGTTTGGGGCGCAATCGCGTATGATTCCAGGTCACCTTTACTTCGTATTCAGGGCACTATGACGGCCCAACGATACGTTGATGATGTGCTGCGACCGGTGACACTCCCCTACCTTCAGGGGGTACCCAATGCCCTTTATCAGCAGGATAACGCCCGACCGCACACTGCTCGCATTAGCCAACAAGCTCTGCAAGATTTACAGATGCTTCCCTGGCCACCGTACTCTCCTGAACTCTCACCAATCGAGCATGTCTGGGACATCATTGGACGCCGTTTGCATGCCTTGCCACAGCCGCGTTCAGAAGACGAACTGTGGCAAATGGTTGAGAAGGAATGGATAGCCATCCCTCAGGACGCCATCCGTACTCTGATTGACTCTCTACGTATACGTGTTGCTGCGTGCATCGCCGTCCGCGGTGGTCCTACTTGCTACTAAGCCGACGCCGTTCTCGCTCTGTATTATGACTATCATTTTGAAATAAAGATCACTTATTGTTCGTCCCTGTCTCTCTCTGTCTGCCGAGTTTCATCACTTTCTGGCTACTATTTCTTGGTGTTCCATTTTCAATGTCACGCAGTGTATAATGGATTAGACAACCATCCGGAATCTCTATCAGTCCACGACACGCCGGGGGACAGCCTTCATTCAAGTCAGTGGTGATACCAACGACATGTTGACTTTCTCAATTTGTGACAATCACAAACTCTGGAATGGGGGTCGGTCTAAGAATTGCCTAAACCGTTGATTTTCGACCACTACGACCTGGGTTCGATTCCCATATTGGACACTTTTTTTATGATTAAAAAAATGCTCCAATGGCCCCACGATTCTTGCAAAAGTCCAACCCCACCAGCGAATGTAAGTAACCAAACGGGGCTCTGGCACATTTGTAAGTGGAAAGTTGAACTGCTTTTCACATGTGTAGACATATGGTGCACTTACAGTAAAAGCAGTCGCTATGATTATAATGGCCTGTACCACGTGTACTAGGGATAAGCAAAAAAACTCTGGAATAAAATAATTAATTGTTCTGATATTTAGTTTTTTCAACTATACACACGCATAGCTCTATTAAGACCACCGGTCTTATACATATTTATCACAGGAAAAAAAAAGGAAGCATAGATGGAGCTCCTATACTCCAGGCAGCACAGAACCCAACAACAGCCTCCAGGTCCGACACAGTGGCCACACCGTACATAGGTTAACGCATCACCGAAAAGACGAGTGTGGAATCAGCCGCGTTCTAGTTTTTACTCTCCTCAACCAAATGTACCACGACATGTCCAGTAGCCACAACGTACATACATCAAGGTTAACGTATCACTGAAAAGACGAGTGTGAAATCAGCCGCGTTCTAGTTTTTACTCTCCTCAACCAAATGTACCACGACATGTCCAGTAGCCACAACGTACATACATCAAGGTTAACGTATCACTGAAAAGACGAGTGTGGAATCAGCCGCGTTCTAGTTTTTACTCTCCTCAACCAAATGTACCACGACATGTCCAGTAGTCACACCGTACATACATCAAGGTTAACGTATCACTGAAAAGACGAGTGTGGAATCAGCCGCGTTCTAGTCTTCACTTTTCTAATCCAAATGGACCACGACATTCGGCGATTCTATTAATCCCCTCTGAACATTGACTGAGGAGGTTTTTTTTCAACTCTACATCTTCTTTACATACACCAATTGCTGTCCCAATCTGACAACTCCTTCTTTTCGCGTCGATTTTTTGTTATAGAGTAAGTTATTTACATAATAGTTAACTATAGTTAATGCATATAGAGAGGGAATATGTAAATATAAACAAATTTTAACACCTTGCCAAATGCTTTATTTTTATTTACTTCTTCTGACGAAGACAAAAGATTTCTGTCGAAACGTTGAGAAAATAAAAAAAACTCTAACTGGCCGAAGTGTCTATTTTTTATATAAAAAGAATATTCTTATACTAGCCGAGTGACCCGGGCAACGCCCAGGGTTTACCCAAAGGGCCTGCAGAGACTTTAAAAGTATAGATGGTGGCTTAAAAAGCGCAATGGGTATATTCAGATTTCCTAGAAGCAGCATTTCAAGTAAGGATAAGTAAAAATACTTTCTAAGTATAAATTCGTTAATTCGACCATGTTTTGATTTCCAGAACCTATGAAATTACAAACAGTAATTCGACAATACCGATAATTCGACCCCTTGCGATAATTCGACCTTGATTTGATTTCCCAATCTCTGGCCTATCAAATAACAAACGGTAATTCGACAATATTAATTATTCACCACTTCTGATAATTCAACCATTTTAAAATGCAAATTTCGACGATTGATGTTTACTTACAACTTTACTAAAAAAAAAGGTATTATAGATGCGAGCAACGAAACATTTTGAACCCATATAATGCAAATTCATATCCTCACTTATAGGGTGTCAAGCCTAAAGGATGCGAATTCATGTCCCTGATTTCTAAAAATTAACATAAAATTGTAGGCTACCAACGCGAATTCGCGTCTACTGGGATCTTTTCCCATACCTTCTTGCCTATTTATCAGTGGGTTGGGTGGGGGGGGAATGTCAGCTGTCCCAATGTACCTGTAAAATGTCACATGCGACCGAGTTCAAGCAGCCATTATTTTTATTTATTTCAAGCTATATAGATGACATTAAAAGAAAATATCATTTTTTAAACATGTTATTATATGAACAACTCGATTTTCATACGGCCCACTGGACCATGTAACTCTGGAATCATAAGTGCAAAAACAGACATCCCTAAAGGACTCCTTTAAAATATCTTTATGATTCTTTTTTAATAATATTCTTAAACATTTTTAATTTTTTTTTCATATTTATTAACTTTTCAATATAGAAAATAAGATAACATAAAAGGGATAAATTCATTTAATGGACCTCACTAAAAACTGCATTTCTAGCCGAGTGACCTGGGCAAAGCCCCAGGTTTACCCTAAAGGCCTGTGAATGGGCAGGATAACCATATGTGTGCCATTGCAAAGATCCTAAATCAATGTATAGAGCACTGGGGAAAATAGGTTTTTTTTTTTTTGCTTATCCCTAGTACACGTGGTACAGGCCATGATAATCATGGTGGGTAGTTAGCGACTGCTTTTACTGTAAGCGCACCACATGTCTACACATGTGAAAAGCAGTTTGACTTTGCACTTACAAATGCCAGAGCCCCGTTCGGTTACTTGCACTCGCTGGTGGGGTTGGACTTTTGCAAGAATCGGGGGCCATTGGAGCATTTTTTTTTTTAAACAGAAAAAAGTGCCCAATGCGGGAATCGAACCCGGGTCCTAGTGGTCGAAAACCAAACGGTTTACCCAGCCTTCCACCGACCAAAAGTCAAAATAATAATAAATATTTTATGAATGAACAAATAATACAAAAAATTGCTTTCAGGTGAGAAACTATAGGCATTGGTGAAAACTTTAAAAAATTATATTGAAAAAAAAAAAGAAAACAAATATTAAAAGAAAATTCAATACAACACAACTATATAGCAAATACAGCCATTATTTCTACCCGAGTGACCCGGCAACGCCCCGGGTTTAGCCTAAAAACATGTGAAGCGCTAGATAACCATATGTGAGACATTGCATAGATCCTGAATCAATGTATAGAGCACTGGGGAAAATAGGTAAATAAAGACCAAAAATCAAAATACTTAATTATAAATATTTTATTAGTGAACAACTAATACAAAAAAATCCTTTCAGGTGAGAAACTATGTTGTTGATGTTTCTTATCCCCTTGTGTAAAGATTACACGAATTCCATGATCTCATGGAATGGGGTATAGGGGTGCAGCTTTCGTTGATCATGGCACCATGATCCAGGCACACTTTGGTGAAAGTCTGACTTTGCCTGTGATTTGAGGCCATTCCAAATATGGAAGCCTTTGTTTCTGACTCTAACATGAGCACAGACGCAGCTCCTCCGTATCCCTGGAGTGGAACCATTGCTGAGGTCCATCAACTGGGTCAGTTGAACTCAGGATTTTTAAAGAGGGAGTGTCCCTCCTGGTTACAGCATCAAGTCTACCAGAACAAGACTTGATACAATCGTGTAGAGAGTTTACTGTACCTCCCAACAATGTCCACTGCACCACAGGCCAGTTACAGAGGGGTAAGCATGGGAGGTGTGAGAAACTATAGGCATTGGTTGATGAGGCACAATTTGGATTGTAGATTATAAACAAAAGGTAATAAGACCAAATCCAAATATATAAATAGTGTGTGACGTTTCGGTAACAGCGTTGTTACCATCTTCAGACAAAAGTACTGAATGGAAAAAAGGAGCCTACAGCACCCGGTGTTCCCAGGTGGTCACCCTCCCAAGTACTGACCGAGCCCGACGTTGCTTAACTTCGGTGATCGGACGAGAACCGGTGTTTTCAACGTGGTATGGCCGTAGGCCATAGTACTTTTGTCTGAAGATGGTAACAACGCTGTTACCGAAACGTCACACACTATTTATTTATTTGGATTTGGTCTTATTACCTTTTGTTTATAGACATTGGTGAAACTTTAAACAATTTTTTTGGAAATGAAACAAAAAGTAAAAGAAAACAAATCTTAAAAGAAAATTAAATACAACACAACAATAAACCAAATTAGACAACATAAAAGGCATACATTCATTTATTTGAAATGAAAAAAAAAATTAAAAGAAAACAAATCTGAAAATAAAATTGAATACAACACAACTATATAGCAGATAAGACAACATAAAAAGGAAAAATTCATTTAAAGGACCTCATTAAAAACTATATTTCTAGTTTTATAAATACGTGGGTTCAACTTTACCCGTATGCTATTCAAAGTTCGCACACGTGAAAAAGCCACATAGAGCTGTCCATGAGTAAACACGGGCTCATGTAGCAAGAGACCCACTCTAGCAAAGGTTTGGCCTTGAGCCTTATTAATAGTCATGGCAAAAGCCAACCTTAGTGGAAACTGACGCCTCTTCAGAATGAAGGGAAGGTTGGTATCTGAAGGAGCCAAAGATATTTTTGGCACCAATACAGTTTGTCAAACTTTGGTCCCTGTCAGTATTTGTGCTTCTAGGACATGAGAGCGCATGCGCTGGATAACCATACGTGTGCCATTGCAGAGACCCTGCTTAGGATTCAAATTTCTAAGGAGCATAACAATAGCACCAATCTTAAGGTTTAACCGGTGTGGAGGCATTCCTGTGGGAGTAAGACTATTAAGGAATTCAGTAGGGTAGTTATTTTGTTCCTCCACATTCTCACACTCGACACTGTCAACACTGAGAAAACACTGACTCCTGTTTGGTAAGCGATCCAAAACTTTTTCATTAATCTCTAACGAATCTGTGTTTTTTGGCGTTAAAATCACAGACTGGCTAAGGGCGGTAATATCACCATAGGAAGAACCAAATATTTCCTGCACCAGGTCAACCCCATGAAAGATACAGCTTTCTGGAAGAGAAATGAGGCCCTGTTGGTCTGTAGGTAGATCACCATCACCAACTTTAAGTAACCATTGAGAGAAGCTCTGTGCATCAATACCTGCTCGCATATTCTGAGTAAGGCGCAAGATCACAAACAATGGCCATAGCTTGCTTTGCTTAATGCAAGCAGCAACAATTTCAGCTCTTGAAGCTCGAGGTACCACAGGTAGCACTTGGCGAAAGTCACCTCCAAGAACAACAACCTTTCCGCCAAAAGCAAGGTCACAATGCATAATGTCCTTTAGGAGACGATCCACAATTTCAAGTGCTCTGTAGTGGGCCATAGGAGCCTCATCCCAAATAATTAAGGATGATCTACGAATAAGCTCAGCCTCAGAACTATTGGCCGAGATCGCAGCTACAGAATTCTCAAGCAAGGGAATCGGCAGCTTAAACCTGGAATGGACAGTCTGGCCACCTGACAAAAGGGTAGCCGCTATTCCAGTGGAGGCCAGCGGAATGACAATTTTTCCAACGGCTCTAACACAATGAATTAGGGTGTTATAAACATAAGTCTTGCCCGTACCACCAGGCCCATCAATAAAAAAGCAACGTGGATTTACATTGAGGGAATCAACAATTGTGTCAACAATTGACTTTTGATCTGGTGTAAGGGACCTATACATTTCTGTCCCAATTTGCAGCTCTGCATTAACATCAAGGTGATCCTCTCCTGAATCAAGAAGTGGGGTTAGGGGTGCAGGAAGTCCATAATGGTGGCAACTGAGGCGATTTTCTCTCAGCTGGAATTCAAGTTCTCTGAGAGTCATCTGTTCAGCAGCTGCGTCAGATGTTGCACGAGAAAAGTCCTCACTAAGATACCCCTTGTATTTGGTCCACAGTGATACAGGGTCGGTAGGATTATTGTAGATGAGAATTGTCGCAAAGAGCTGCCGCAGTTGACAAGGCATTTGGAACAAAGCCGCCTCAGCTAAGCATGCATCCCATTCAGAATCATCAGCCAATAATCCACGGCGCTGGGCAGCCTCTTTAAAAGTGGAGCAAACAATATCATCCACAGTTCGCAAATCTTCAAAACTCTGAGCACCTGCAACATGTAATAGTAGAAGCCGGAGGTGGTAACGCTCAGAATCTTTAGGATTCACTGAACACATACGTCCAATGCACAAAGCCCCACCCCGAACTCTAGCACTCCATTGATTCTGCCTGAAAACATAAGCGGAAGGTATGTCTCCATATAAAAGTGATCTTGCGGATACATTAACACAATTGAGCTGAAACCAGGCAGTCAGAGTTGTGCGTCTGCGTGAGGCATTTTCAAGAGCCTGTTCTTCACTACCTTCAACAAAATAGACAGATTGAAAATTAGGTAGATGAACAGCTAAGCGGCATATGGTATGCGAGTGAGCATGCAAGCGATATTCAAACATTCGCCACATTGCCTCAGGAGCACTTACATACCGAGCGTCAAGAAAGTTTTTGATTTCATCATGTGCCCTGCTTTCCATATCTAATTCTCCAACAGACACTTCCACCTCAGCCCTGTCGTGTCCCTTATATACATACTTGAAAAGATATTTGACACTTTTCACAGAGGCACAGACCTCCACATTAATGTGAGCATTGAACCTAACCAGCAGATAGGGGTTATAGGGAACAACCCAGCGGTTATCCACCTCGTGAGTGCCCACAACTAATGTCTGGCCGTCATCTCGACGTCTGTAGCGAGGATAGCCATTATTGTTAGCCTCAGTCAGCTGCAGGAATGATTTAGGGAAGTCTTTAGTACACTTGCCATCAGACATGCATGGTGAGTGAAGATTGAAGTTTCCACAAGGACCATGGATCATATGTTTACGAACCATGTCATACAGCTGAACCTGCATAGTAGGGCTAGGAATTTCTGCACAAACCAACATGTCAATGGCATCCCTGTCTCTAGGCTTGTCTTCTTCTCTAAGCATAAACAGCATGTGGGCATGCGGTAAACCGCGTTTTTGGAACTCAACAACATGCACCCGAGCAATGACCACTCCCAATACATGCTGACTAACAATCTCGTGCAGTAATTGTTGTAACTTGAGATTGAAAACTCTAGCCACCAGATCCGGTCTATCAGAAGGATTCTGGTTAGGAAGAAGATTTTCAACAATGTCAGTCCAACGTGGGTTACAGGTAAATGTCACGAATAGGTCAGGTCTTCCAAACTTTCTAACAATGGCCATTGCATCCTGATAGTTTTGTTGCATGGCCCGGGAACTCCCAGGAAAGGAAGATGGAAGAATAAAAATACGGCCTATTCGCACACCCCGAGAATGTTCCTGCTCATGGATATAATCCAGCAGACCTTGATATAACTCCACCCTAAGCAGGGACTGATTTTGGCGAATATAGTTCAGGCGATTGCCCTCTGTTTTAACATAGGCATCAACAACATATTGCTGAAATAGTCTCCTGCCATAGTGAATGGGCGAAAAGCCAGGTCTGATGGCCAACCTATAACTATAGAACTGAAGCATGGTAACATGGTTTCTAGTGCTTGTGCGCATGTTTTCTTCATGTAAGATTCCTATTGCCCAACCAGGATCACCGGCAGGAAATAAAAGAGGGTATGTCATTGGGTCACAGTTAGGATTAAGTGGAGAAATACGCACTAAACCACAATCATGCGGAAAAACAGCAATATCTCTGTTAGAAGGTACATGGCCATCTTGATCAACAAAAATGGCCGCAACTTCACTTACACTTGGGGCATTATATCGGCGAAGATCTCTACAATGATTTTGCCGGATGAGCATCTGAACCTGACACATTTGCCGGTTCTCAATGCGAGCCCGGTGTTCCTCAGCTAGTTCCACCTGGTGCATCTGCCTATAAGCAGAAGTATACGGATTCACACGCCTAAGCACAGAATCCAAAAGAGTCAATATACCAGGATGGCATTCCAAAGGCCTAGATGCTCGAGTCCTATAAGCGAGTCTTCCACGGCCTCTGCGAGGCATGATACAGAAGCCGCTGAAAAAAAAAAGCTAAACTAAAAACCAAGTTGAGCAAATACATGTTAAAATAAATTTAATGTAAAAGATCTCAATATAAACAACATATTAAATTGCACAGTGCAAAAATGTAGAAAATTGTATGTATCATATAACATTTTATCATATAACAAATTAAGTAATCAACAATTGATTATACAAATAAATAATTAGCCTCTTATTGAGAAAAATAAAGATGCCAAAGACATTATGAAAGATACTGCAAAAAAAGAATTATGAAAGATACGGCAAAAAAGAAAACCAGACACAAAAAATTGAGCAAAATGTAAAATTAAAAACTATAACAAAGAACCCGCAAATTAATTTAATCAGAAATACAAAAAAGACGCTGAAAAAAAAAGGTAAAATAAGAACCAAGCAGAGGAAAACTATAAAACTGAAAGCCAGGACAGGCATAAAAAGAAAATCCCAAGTAAGTGAGGAAAAAATTGATGAAAAAAAAAATGTGCAAATAATATGTATATAAAAAAGCAAAGCGCAATTCTAAACCCAAATATTTTTTTTATGAGAAGAACATCAACATATTGAATGATTATGGCAGTCCATAGCTTCCCTGACAAAAATTCACCAAAAAAGTTAAATATTCCAAAATAAGTAAGGCACTTTTGCAGCCCCCCTGACAAAAATTCACTAAAAGAGTTAAGTATCCAAAAAAATATTTTGGTATATATATTGCTAAATGTGTAACAAACATGTATATGAAAAAGCAAAGCTTAATTCTAAGTTTTAATATTTTTTTCAATATACAGAAGAAATAAGACACAAAAATGGAGCTAAATTCAAATGAAAAACTATAACAAACAGTTATAAAAGATAATTATTATAGAATAAAGTAATAATAATTCAATCTACAAATAGAAAAATGTATATATTTAAATGAAAAACTAAGTTTCAATATTTTTTTTAATATACAGAAGAAATAAGACAAAAATGGAGCTAAATTCAAATGAAAAACTATAACAAACAGTTATAAAAGATAATTTTATAGAATAAAGTAATAATTCAATCTACAAATCGAAAAATGTATATATTTAAATGAAAAACTATAACAAAGTACTTACATAATCAAATTAATCAGATATATATATTATTTCAAAACACTTTCTACGGAATTTCAAAACAAATGATTGATGATGATAAATGCAAAAAATCTACGATTGTAAAATAGATTAAATTAAAAAATAAAAATAACTGTTAACATTAGGAAAATAAAAACAGGCCTATGACACGAAGAAAAAAATAACGAAAATTTTGGTATATAGATTGTTATGTGTAGTTCAGAATCTTCGGAGGAGATAGCTCAGGACTTTACAATGGAAAACTCTGTTACGGTATTATCTATATAGATACCATTGCGTTGGTTATTTTCCACACAACTCTATTTATATATTAAGTTTTTAGAATAAAAAAACAAATATTTAGGGAATTTTAAAATATTTTTTACATTTGGTCAATAGTGCGTTAAAAACAAATATTTTAGAAAATAAGTTATATTAAAAAAAAATATCTTTGATGCATTCGAAAAGTTTATATTAAAGCTAAATACCAACAAAAAAAAAATTGACATATCCAAATTAAACAAAAAACAAAAAAAGCTAAATTGTGTTCCATCAATTTTTCCCGCCCAAACTTGAGCGATTGGGAGTTGTCGTCTGATGAGATATTTATGAGAATCATTATTGGAGAAAGTCCAAACGAAAATTTTTTAAAGCATTTGTTTGTCGTCTGCCAGCCCAATGGAGAAAATGATGATAGGTGGCTTTTATCTCGCGTTACTCTGTGTTCTTCTTTTTTTCTTACTTGAGATGGCTCTTTCTCTCTCTTATCGAATGGAATGCATTTGAAAATTTTCAAACAACCAGACTGACAACGCTGGCATGGAATCGTTTGATGGATGGAGTAAATTGGCGGGAAAACTAGATATCAGCCGAAATATGACTTTCTTCTGCTTTTTTTTTTTAACTCTATAGCACTCGCGGTTTCTCTCTTTTTAGAATAATTTTACATTACATTATAAAATGTTTATATATTCTTACATCATGAATTGTTTAATGAAATTTATTAACTGGTATGTGTGTACAATAGAACGAAAATACGTATATTTTAAAAAATAATAATAAAATTGTGTAACAATGAATTGTTGGCAATGTGTTTTTTTTTTTATCTCTACAGACCTTACTGCAATGATAAAAGTTATTGAATGAAAGGACTTGGTTCATCAGTGGTGAACCCTCTCAGCGGTTTCACCAAATTAATCTCCAGACAGCTCTACTATTGTATTGGATTGGTTTTGTTATATATCCTCTATTTACTATGGAAGACAGCTTGGGGATGTTTAAGGAATCTATGGATATAACCTTATGGGATTTTCCTAAGTTAGTCTATGGCTTTTTTTTTAATATCGAGGAAAAACCAACTAGGTACGCGTTTCGGGCTGTTGGCTCTGATCAGCGTGATGTAGGTGGTACGTTGAAGGCTTTCTTGTTCCAAAATCACTTTATTAGGTACCGCTCAACAAGAGCAACCTATTCATGATAAAATTGTGAAAAAGTTTTAAAATTACAAATATTTTCTCACAATGAGTTTATTTTTATTTAAAAAAAACGCTAGCTTTCAAGCGATAATCGCTCTTCAACGGGCTTACTATAATATCGACTTTATCCCACCAGAAATACTTACAAAAACAAACGCGCGCAGCGTGGATATTTATAACTGAAACATTCAATGATCTATCAACATATTGCATAGACCGGTCACCAATTCAACATAACACAAACGAAATGCCACTACAAAAAAACATTAAGAACAAATTTCAACGGTTACTCTTAGAATCTCTCGTTTCCAATGAATATAACAGCATAAACAGGAAGATCACAATACCTAAGATATCTCAGAAGAAATCAATAAATCAATTTTATAGGTTCTGGATGCCCTAAAAATTAAAATAGACATATTCCATAAAAGAGTTAAATTACAAACCAATTTAAAATTTTCAGTTATAAATATCCACGCTGCGCGCGTTTGTTTTTGTAAATATTTCTGGTGGGATAAAGTCGATATCCGGGTAGTTGGCGACTTCTGTACGCTCCAGGAACCTGGGTTACTTAAATAAATAAAAAAGTCGATATTATAGTAAGCCCGTTGAAGAGCGATTAACGCTTGAAAGCTAGCGTTTTTTTTATAAGAAGAAACTCATTGTGAGAAAATATTTGTAATATTAAAAGAGCAACCTAGTTTATGATAATTACAACAATGAATAATATATGAAGGTTAATTCACATATTAAACAAAATGTTAACGTGGGATTTAATCCCGGTTCATGACTGTCGGGAATCGAGCGTGTTACCTACTTGTCCACCGACTCTTTGCGTTGAATGCCTGGTTCAAATTCACATTAATAGGTACCGCTCAGCAAGAGCAACCTAGTTCATGATAATTGAACAATGAATAATATGCGAAGGTTATTCACATATTAAACAATTTTTAACGCGGGACTCAATCCCGGTTCATGACTGTCGGGAATCGAGCGTGTTACCTACTTGTCCACCGACTTATTTTTATCTGCGTTGAAGGCTCACCACGGTGAACTCACATTTATCTTTTTAGTTTCATGAAAAAGGTATTTAAGGCCAAAAGGATGATTAAGAAAGTTAATGACATGTTTTAAAAAAGGTATTTAAAAAATCGAGAAGAAGAGGTGTTTTCTCGGGTGATTAAATTATGTTTATGAGAGGGGGGTGGGGGGTAGAAGTCCGACCACACCAGTCCCCACTGGACTCTTGGAATATTTGACCAAATTCTGGTCCAAGATGACTAACGTGGCAACGGCACCTATTTTCCAATGAGGACACGACAACAACAACAATTTTGTTTGTGGCTAACCTACGATAAAAAACAACTAGTTTGGTCTTGATTTGAAACAAATAAATTTAATCCCTATTTTTAAAACCTCACAACTTATTTTTATTAAAAAAAAAAAAGTTTCTATAGTGTCGTGAAAGAGAGATAGTTTTGCATTCGTGTCATGGAGTGATAAGAGACGCATAAAGATAGTTTGTGTCATCTATCAGAATAACTATCAATTCAAATAAGAAAAAAGGCTTCTACTGATCGTGAAACTAAAAGTTGCTGATGGCTTGCGCCATCTATCGGAATAAAATAGCAACTAATCGTTGATTTTTGTGGTATTTTGATTATTTGGCCAATATACAGGAATAATTTTTAAAAATCAACGATTAGTTGATTTATTCCGATAGATGGTGCAAGCCATCAACAACTTTTAGCTGCACGATCAGGATATGTCCTATTTTTCTTTAGTTATCCACCTGATCCAAATACAAATTCACTTGTAAAATACAATATAACGCGGCTGATGATTGTAAAACGAAAATTGCAATTATACCGCGAATGTTTCTTTTATAAAAATCGAAATTTATTTTCAAAGAGAAATAGCGACATTTCTAACTTTAAGGATGAAGTATGGAATGGTGAAACATGAAGAGTAATGGTGAACGGAAAAATAAAAAGTGTCCAGGGGCGGGAATCGAACCCAAACCCTTCTGCTTACCGGGCAGGTGCCTTGTCCACTCGGCTACCCTGGACGTATTTTTCCGTTCGTAACTAATACTTAAAGTAACATCATCATCAGCCGCGTTATATTGTATTTTAAATGTTACTTTAAGTATTAGTTACGAACGGAAAAATACGTCCAGGGTAGCCGAGTGGACAAGGCACCTGCCCGGTAAGCAGAAGGGTGTGGGTTCGATTCCCGCCCCTGGACACTTTTTATTTTTCCGTTCACCATTACTCTTCATGTTTCACCATTCCATACTTCATCCTTAAAGTTAGAAATGTCGCTATTTCTCTTTGAAAATAAATTTCGATTTTTATAAAAGAAACATTCGCGGTATAATTGCAATTTTCGTTTTAAATTCACTTGGGTACTCTATTTTTCATATCTACTAGACTTTACAAAGATAGTTTGTGCCAACTATCGGAATAACTGTCAAATAAATATATAGAAAAAAAACATTTTGCCAGGTTGTAATTATATATATGATTAATTAGAAACAAATTTTATGTGTGAAGTGGATAATTAATTATAAATATATTAACTAGATAGTTTGTGCTATCTATTGGAATGACAATCGTCTGACGATCATAAAGATGGTTTCTGCCATCTATCCACAAAAAATTGCATAACCTAAATGTAGATTTTTTTCAATTTAGAAGTAAACTCTTTTTGTCAAATATAAATTTTCAATAAGAAAATCCAGTTACGAAAATATTTCGGATTTTTATCAAATTCTACAGCATATTGGCCATTCTATTATTGTGCCCTATTTATTATATAATCCCGCCAATTAAAATAGATTCAAATATCTGCATATATATATATAAATTTACTATCAAATATTTATCCATACATAGCTCTGCTTTATCGTTTCCAAGTATCTAAGTCAATATGCAAAGAGAGGGGGAGAAAATAGCGGAGCAGACGATAAGCTGCACATCCTTGGGGAACAGAAGATTTATGCCCGGTCGTCTGCCTCGGGAATATTCCGGTCTGCGGTCAAAACTTATTTTTTCTTTAAATTAAGTTTTTTTTTCTTCTTGGCGCACTCACAGATTAATTATTTAAAAATAAATTATGTTACCAGATTGATGTTACATATTTTTTTAATGATATGACTAATTTTTTTTTTTAGCCTTCACAAGTGTAATACATGTTTATTTACATTTTAAATACATTATGCTTTAGAAAATGTGTTGTTTTTATTAAGTAATAATAATATTTTATTATAAATCACTCTTTTTTAATGTTCTCTTTTATCTTTTATTTGTATGGGAATTTGAGATATCGTCTGGTTTCTATTTATTATTTTCAATGGATATTGTTCTATCAATGTGTTTACGTTCAAATTTAATAAAATTTTATTTATCAGAATCATTGAAGATTTGCCGCTAATATGTAGAGAATGGCTTGGGACTCATCATCAGTAACAAAATCCTATTTACATATAATACAATTTAAAAATTTTCAAGTGATTAATTTTATCATTGCAATAAGGATAGCGGGAAAATAGTTTTATGTAATAGGTAAATACGTTTTATAAATAGTTCCAATTTCCGATAACAGATGGCGCGCTTGCATCATGTGTATATCAAGTCGAAATGAACTCTTTTTCTGTCGTCTTTGAAAGAACAGTGCTCGAAGTATATATATGTAAATTTATATTTTATTATTTGTATTTCTCTCTCTCTACTGTCCTCAAAGCTTATGTCCCACCATAGTTTGTTTAAAATACTTTTTTTTTACAAGAGTATATATCAAACAAAGGCTCACGTGCACATGGGGAAAGGGAGGAAAAATTACTGTATTATTTTGTTGTTGTATGGCGAATCCATACAGGGCAATGGGCCCTAATAAAAGCCTTTTTTGTTGTTGTTGAATATATCTTCATTATCAGTCAAAAAATAAAACAGCCAAATACAATAATAGAACGGTATGGTAGATTAAACTGGCGAAACCGCTGGGAAGGTTCAACACTGATGAGTCAGGCTCTCCCTTTATTTTTATCATTGCTGTAGAAAAATTGTTTTATCTAAAATAAATATATATACACGTCATTAATAGTTGAAATTTTCCAATAAAAGAGAAAGAGCTGCATAATAGTACTCAAAATAGTATTAGTTAAAAAATACTTTTGCATTGAGTGTTTATGACATCTAATACAACTGGAAAGCTTTTAGAAAGACTCAGATTCTTTTCAACGGGCTAATCATTGAATGTGAGGATCCTGGGATGTAACAGGTTACTACATATATATATACTCATGGACAAAACTTAAGGAAGTTGTACCTTTTAGCATGTATATCGGGATTGAGACAATAACTCTGAAAGATATACTCATGGACAAAACTTAAGGAAGTTGTACCTTTTAGCATGTATATCGGTATTGAGACAATAACTCTGAAAGATACACTCATGGACAAAACTTAAGGAAGTTGTACCTTTTAGCATGTATATCGGGATTGAGACAATAACTCTGAAAGATATACTCATGGACAAAACTTGAGCAAGTTGTACCTTTTACCATGTATATCGGGATTGAGACAATAACTCTGAAAGATACACTCATGGACAAAACTTAAGGAAGTTGTACCTTTTCGCATGTATATCGGGATTGAGACAATAACTCTGAAAGATATACTCATGGACAAAACTTAAGGAAGTTGTACCTTTTAGCATGTATTTCGGGATTGAGACAATAACTCTGAAATATATACTCATAGACAAAACTTAAGGAAGTTGTACCTTTTAGCATGTATATCGGGATTGAGACAATAACTCTGAAAAATACACTCATAGACAAAACTTAAGGAAGTTGTACCTTTTAGCATGTATTTCGGGATTGAGACAATAACTCTGAAATATATACTCATAGACAAAACTTAAGGAAGTTGTACCTTTTAGCATGTATATTGGGATTGAGACAATAACTCTGAAAGATACACTCATGGACAAAACTTAAGGAAGTTGTACCTTTTAGCATGTATATCGGGATTCAGACAATAACTCTGAAAGATACACTCATGGACAAAACTTAAGGAAGTTGTACCTTTTAGCATGTATATCGAGATTCAGACAATAACTCTGAAAGATACACTCATGGACAAAACTTAAGGAAGTTGTACCTTTTAACATGTATATCGGGAGGGATTGAGACAATAACTCTGAAAGATACACTCATGGACAAAACTCAAGGAAGTTGTACCTTTTAACATGTATATCGGGATTGAGACAATAACTCTGAAAGATACACTCTTGGACAAAACT